TGCCATATATATGCCATACATATATATATATGCCATCCTCATGCTGTGCTGGCCCCACCCCTTGCAATGAGACTTACAGGTGGTGGCATGCACCTGTAATCCCAGCGCTTGGGAGGCTGAAAAACAGGAGGATCACTATGAGTCTGATCTGTGTAGTGAGACCCTGTAGACCCTGTACTAAATGCATAAAAAGGCAATACTAATTTGTATATAAGCATTTTCATATTCTAACTTATATGTCAAAATGTTTGCAAAATGGTTTTACCAATATACATTTTTATGCTAATAAACTCAGTCATTAAATTCTTAACTTTGGTCAAGATCTTTTCTAACTACTAGGTTTCTATTTGGTTCTTTTGGAACTCCATGATAGAACTTTTTGTTGTTTCCAGTTTCCAGCCAATTAAAAAACTAATCCCTTGAGCCAGGAATGGTGCTACACACTTGTAATCCCACACTCAGAAGGCTGAGACAAGAGGATTGCTGCAAGTTTGAGGCCAGCCTCAGTTATATAGTGAGTGTAAGCCCATCCTGAATTAAGTTACATAGTGAGTTTAAGCCCAGTGAAACCCTGTCTCAAACAGAAAAAAAAGAGGACTGGAGAGATAGCTCAGTAGAACAAGTGCTTGCCTGGCAAGCACAAGGGCCTGAGTTCAATCCCTGGTTCTGCAAAAATAACCAAAAAAATTACTTTTCATTTCTTTAAATGCAATAAATATGAAATGCTTCTGAAAATTCTAATATCTGAACTTGAAGTATCTATTTCTGTCATTTATTGTGTCTGCTAGCTGTATTATCCAGAATAGTATTTCCTTTCACCTGATGTCCTCTATTTTTATTTATTAAACTTTATTCAGAAGTTATCTGAAGGAAGAGTGTGAGTCCTAACATTAAGATACTTTCCATAAAAAGAAATTTCATTTTTGTTTTAGTATGTTTTTCTTGTCAGGCATCTAGAGTCTCTACTGGTCTGATAAAATCTTAGTTTTTTGTTTTTGGTTTTGTTTTTTTTTTTTTTTTTTTTTTTTTTTGTGGAACCAGGGATTAAACTGAGGCCCTTATGCTTGACAAGCAAGCACTTATCCTATTGAGCTATCTCTTTGGCCCCTAAAATCTTAATTTTGCTAAAATTTGAAATAAGTTATGCAGTCTTTGCTTTTAATTCAGTGGACTGAAAAATAAAATTTAGAACAATTAAGTTAGAATAAGACAAGGTTTAATGTCTTCCTCTTGTGTAAGTTGTTTTGTGACTTTGACCTGCAGCACTTTGTTCCTAAGACTTCTCATCTATTGAAGAAGTATATGGCTAGCAACCTCCAAGTCATGATTTTTCTCGTTTTGACTTCTGTCTTCCTTTTTTTTCATTTTGGTGACACTCATGGTATGTGTTGCTTTTGGTTTTTAAAATATTTTTCGGAACCTTTAGTACTTATTTCCCCTGACTGGTTTTAATTATCTTAAGAGTCTTGCTGAGGACTTTTTATTTTATGTCTCTTTATATCTCTTGCTATATAGAGCACAGTACTTTGGTGCAGTAGCTGCTCGACAGATGTTAAATGGATAAGTCAATGAGTGAATAAATTTCAGAAATAGGTACATATATAAAAGTGATTAAACCAAGTTCAGTATTGCTACAGAGAAAGAACAAGTATTTTCCCTCTGTTATAGTTCCCAGAGCTTCAATCTAATTTCTGTTGCTGTTTACCTGTCTAATATATTGTCTGATTGTCCTCACAGAGAACAACTTGCTTGAATTAGAATTTATGAATAGTGATCCAACTCTGTAATAGAGCTTGAAAATAAGGCCTTAAAAACATTGATCCAGATGCAGAGTGATAGGATGTAATAAAGGTTTATTTAAGGCATAAAATTTAAAAGGCATGTTCATCAATAATTCATCAACTTTCTTTAAAAGGGCCCTTAGTCTAACCATTTCTGTCCTGTACCTTTAATCAATTCCAGTTGACATTGCCAGGTGGGGTTTTTTACAGGTGCTCTGGGTAAAGAATCTATCTATCTGGAGAGTAACTTATAAGCAAATAATTAAAAACATTCCCAGGGAGAACATTAGCATATAATAATTTAATGTATTAAACAATTGTTCTAAAGAGATATGAAGAAAAATGAAAAAAAATCATTAATAGTTTATATAAAAGTATACACCAGGATATTAGTTTTCCATATTAATCACTTAGTTATGCAATGAGTTAACGTCTTACTTTTTAAAGTACCAATCACCACAAAGAGTTTATTGAAGTTTCAGATCATTACATTACTCCCAAATTGCAGTTTTGTTAGTTTTCGAGAGCTCATGAAAATAGAGTGTTTAGGTCCCAAAATTGTTGGTGGGAGAATCAGTCCAGGAAGATTTTCCATGAGCACTTTACCAGCTGACTTGGCAGTTGATAGAAAATAATCTAGACATGAATAAATACTTTATTTTTTGGTAACTATCATTTATACCATTAATTAAAGAATGTTCTGGTCAAGCCGGTGGGCTCCTGGAAGTTGATCTTCATTTTTGAAGTCCTTCAGTGCAATTGATTCCAGTGAGCTTAAGGTCTACTTCAGTGAATCGATGCAAGCCACAGCCATTGGACAAGGCTGTACTATGCTCAAACAACTAAATGAAAAGTAGCAAATTCTGCCAATTGTCTGGAGGCTTTATTATATCATTTAAAATAAATTTAATAAAATAAAATCAATAAAGAGGACTTACCAAAATGTGTTGAACTTTACATAAAACATTAAAGGACTGACTGAATTTTTACTCTTCGTTTGTTTATTATTACACATATTAGAAACAAGTCAGTGTTAGTAGAAATTCTGTTTATACTCAGAACTTCTTATCTATTGATCTAATAATTTATCTATATTGATTATCACCAAATACTGCTATACCAAGAAAATGACTACCCTAATAAAAGATTAGAATCTTTCTTATTTGTTCCAAAATTGCATAGAGGCAGCCACAGTCTGGTATAGCACGTCAAGTGTCAGGGATATCGACTTCTACCTTCTTTCCCTAGAAAGTGTGCTCTCAGATGGTTACTAGGGCACAGATCATACTTATTTCCTGCATATACAAATGAAAAAGATACCTGAATAGCTAAACTATTTTTTATTATTTTTTAAACAGTATTACTGCAACAAAATGAAAGTATTTGACCCTGAACAATTACCAAGTTTAACTCATGACAATTTTTAGGGGAAATTCCTGAGCGTTACACAGTATAACATTCACCTAACAGGTTCCCAAAATCATAAGGCACTTACTTAGTGTCTTTCAGTGAAAGCCAAAACCAAAGCAGTGTTATTTCACATCTGCTATTTTGGACATCCCAAAGGAAAAATGATTCAATGAGAAAATCTTTCAGGATTCTGATTCTGACCCAAAGAAAGATTTTTGACTGTCCAGTGGAATACCTGGGTCTTGTAGACCATGACTGGTTGTCTATAAATGCTACTGTTGGTGAAGAGTTCTGAACAAGATTAAGAAATTAGGGAATAGAGTATCAAATTTTCTCTCATCTGTCAGCATGGTTCAAACCAAATGAACTTTCTTAATACTAATTGTTCTACAGTGCAAACAGCTAATGTGTTCATTTTTAAGAATCACAATTTGGGCAGATGAAAGAGGTGATAGTATAAATCAGTTTGACAAATTTATCAAATTAGTCTACCAAAAGCTTAGCAAATAACCTCCAGTTTATATGATGTTGTAAATTTCAGCTGAAGTGTATATTCTCAGAATATTTGATCTTTTCAGGGTTACATGTGGAGTTTACCTCATTAAATATCATTTTATCTGTATATGTAAAACTATGGACACCCAAGCACCTGTAATCCCAGCATTTGGCAGGTGGAAGCAGAAGGATTATTGTGAATTTGAGGCCAGCCTGAGGTACACAGTGAGTTCAAGTCCAGTCTGAATTACACTGAATTACATAGCAAGGCCTTGTCTCAAAACAGCAAAGCAAAAAGCAAAATT